CCTTTCCCTTCTGACACCCCCCCACCCTCCATGCCACTGTCAGAGGGAAGAGGACATTGAATCCATCCGTCTTCCTTTTGCTCCAGTTTTAAACTGGTTTCAGTTTTGAAAACACCACATCTGTTGTCTAAATGCCCTGACCTATCCCCAAACAAGCTTTTATTTTGCATCTACGGTAATTTCCACTGAGACCCTGGACTGGTGTAAAGGTGCCTCTCAGAACCTGCCCAGGTTGTTTTGAGCAGCGGTAGCGTGATGTAGGTCTCTGCTTGGAATGAAGCATTTGTGGCCTTCCGTGCTTTGGGTTAGCTAGGGGCTAAGTATATAGTTTCACCTGGATTTATGCTGTCTACTGCCAGCATAAACTTTAAACAGGCTGCTTCATTTGTTTACAGTCAAGATACTTTGATTAAAAACAGTGACTCCTGAAAGACTCTTGGGGTGTTACTATAATTAATCAAAGATGAACACTTCAAGTTCTGTGACAATTCAGGTAGAACTAGAGACAAAGCATCCAAGTATATCTTGTGTGTGAGTGTGTATATATAGCTTTATGTTTCTTAAAGCTGCAAATACATCTTTCCTGAACCTTTTTCTTGCCTGTAGCTTGACATATTTTTAGCTTCACGGCAACTGAAGAGATGAAGGCAATAGTTACATTTATCTTATCAAACCTAGAATGGTGTGGTTCTGACTTTGCAGGCCTCCAGTGTTGTACCTCTTTCCACTGTAAAACATAGGATTTCAACAGAGAAAATATATCCGAGTTGACCCAAAATGTCCCAGTCTAAAGAATTAGTTTTTAGGCCAGGTTCTGTTTGTTAGATTCAATAGAGAAAGCTTGTAGATTTTTTTTTTCTATTTAGTTTGAATTCGGTGTTCTGAGTAACACAGGGATGGGCAATAAATTTTGACGTGGGCACACTCCAAGATTCTGCAAAGTGGTCGAGGCCGTACTCTTCCATGATATTAATGAAGGAGCTGCAGAGTCTGGGATGGAGGTTGGCTGCAGAAGGGAGCTTAGGGAAAAGGGGTGCGGGAGGGAGACTGGGGACTGGAAAGGAGTTTTGGTGAATGAGGCAGTTGTGACCTAGGGCAGGGACTGGGATGCAGGGAGTTGGTTTGTGACCTAGGGTAGAAGGGGAGTGTGATCTGGGGCAGAGGATGGGGTGTTGGGTGTGGGTGCAAAAAGGGGGCAGAGAGTTTGGGTATGTTGAATGGAGGGGCAGAGGGTTGGGGAAGGGAGGGGCTGGGGTGCCAGAGGCAGGCTCTGGCCAGGAGACTTACCAGCCAGCAACACAACCAGCTAGCCTGCCTGCCTGCCCTGTGCCTGCATAGGTTGCAGAGCCATGTGCTTGTGTGAATAACTGAGTGGGAAAGGAGGGTGATGTGGTGCTTTGTGTGCTACCTGTTCAAACAGGCAGCTCCCATTGGCCAGTTTCTGGACAGAAACCGGCCAATGGGATTGTACTGGGGGCAGGAGCAATATCTGAAGCCTTCCCCTCAAGGATCACAGTTTTGAAAGAGAAATGGCCTGGCAGCTGCTTTTCTGAGCAGGCTGAGGGGCAAGCAGGGGAGTCTGCCTGAAGCTACAGCCTATGGAAGGCCAGCACTGTTCAACTGGAGTGGAAGGAGAGGAGTTAGGGGGCTAACCATAGACCTGAGTGAAAATCCCTGCTCTGCCCTAGATTTCCTGCATGCTTTTGGGCAAGTCCTTTAGTCTTTCTGTCTCTCCATAAAGCCACAAGGTGTTGTAATGGGTAGAAAAGATGATGAGGTGGCTTGGCAGGCCAGATCTGGCTCATGGGCCATATTTTGCCCATGATTCCTGGAATTACAGGAAGGCAGGAGCTGAGTGACGTGAGAAGTAGTATAATAAATCTGCCAGCCTTTGTATAGCTGGTTTTTTAGTTTACTTTCTTAGGCCATTCCAGCCAGTTAAAACATGCTTTAGTGCATATTTGCCTGCATAGTAAATGCTCAGTTCAGAACACCTGGTAGTCCCCACTCAGGAGAGGCGCAGAACTGGAGTAGAAAGGAGATTTGCAACTGAGGAAAGAGCTGCAGTACACTGATAGAGCAGGGTTGGAGAGAAGCTTGCAAAGCATTTTCTTGTGCCATTCCTTCCTTTCCTCTGAATCTTTTTATTGCTTGCACCTAGCATCTTATCCCCTGCCCATGCCCCCTCACAAGTTTATATACAGCAAAGACTGTAGTAGTTTGCCTTGTGGTAGCTTCTGGAGGCCCCAACCAACCTATAGGTTTGTCTACGCTACTGGCCAGATAACGGGCAGTAATCAGTCCAGTGAGGAGTGATTTATCAAGTGTAATAAAGATGTGATAAATCAATTGCTGATCACTCTCCACATTGACTCCGGTACTCCACCTCAGTGAGTAGGAGTCAATGGGCAAGGATCTGTCAACGCACCTCAGTGAAGACACTGCAGTAAGTAGATTCAAGTATGTCAACTTCAGGTATGCTAATCACATAGCTGAAATTGCATAATTTGGATCAATCTCCCCTAATAGTGTAGACTAGCTCTTGGTGCTCAAGATAAATAGTGCAAAAGATGTATAAATTAAAACATCATGAAATTCATGAAGCATCCAAAAGGTTTTATAATGATATAAAAACACATAGTCACTAGATATGTGGGGTTTTTTAATTAGGTGAGCTTTATTATTGTGCCTTATTAAGGAAATTGGAGGAAAAAAGCAAAACACTTAAAGTTGTTTGCTTGGTGTTTTAGTTGCTGTAGGGTGGCATATCTTTTCTTTGCTAGTGCTGGGAGAAGGCTTTCCTGGAGCATACAGACAGCATAGACTCATTCTCTGTTTGCTAATATTAAAATAAATTAGACTATGCGCTACAAAAGAGAACACAGGCTGTTCACATGGGGGGGTGGGGGCGGAGTTTGAATAAACCAGACCCTATCAGTGTTCTGTGGCTTGTTACCAGAAATAATGGTAACATTTCTTTCTTTTTCTGATCCATTGCAGGAAATCCAAGGGAAAACCAAATGGTAAAAAGCCAGCACCAGAAGAGAAGAAACTCTATCTAGAGCCAGAATACACAAAGTTGAGAATTACTGACTTTGAATTCAAGGAGCTAGTGATGTTGCCACGAGAAATAGACCTCAACGAGTGGCTAGCCAGCAATAGTAAGTAGTATGAACACAGCTAACAGCCTGATGCCCACATCCCAAAAGGGCATTTGTTTACATGTTCCTTTTTTTTTACTGGTTTCAACACTAAGGGTACATCTACACAGCAGGCCTTAACTCGACATAAGCTATGCAAATTGACCTCTGTCAGTTGCGTAGCTTATTTCCAAATAGTATATTTCAAAATTGGGAGCGTCTACACAGCACTTGTTTTGAAATAGAGCACTCTTACTCCGACTTCCCTTATTCCTCATACAGTGATGGTTACAGGAGTCGGAGTAAAAAGTTCTCCAGCTTGATTGTATTTTGACGTTATTTCAAAATAGATGCCTGCTGGGAGCTCACCCCGCTCCCACCACTGCCACAGAGAGGAGGAGGCAGGGCAGTGCTGCCCCTCCCCCCACAGGGAGGGGAACAGAGAGGGCGAGTATGCACACGCACCCCAGCTTTCCTAGCCCAGAGCACTTGGGAGGGTGGGCGCTTTGGGGCAGTAACACTCTGCTCCTAGTATGCCTACAGCAGGCGATCTGGGGGCGGAGTATACGTGGGGCCATGCCTAGCCGTTGGGAAGGCAGAGCCTTCCCCTGCCTAGAATACCAGGCGCCCATGCTGCCTCCACTCTGGCCAGGGCTATGCCTCCCTGCTACCGACCCAGCCCCTGAACCTGGCCAGCCAGGGCTTTCTCGTCCAGCAGTTTCCATGGTCCTGCCAGACCACAGATGTTGCCGGACCAGGGAGTCCTGGATTTTAGAGGTTCAACCTGTATTAAGACCTTTATAATGAGTATGTAATAGTTCTCTGCATTCATAGACCTACATACATTTAGGCCACTTTACCTGTTCATTTGTGAATTACCTGTCTGTGTTCTATTACATGATTTACATCTTGAAATTGAATTTTTCTTTTCTTTTCTTTTTTTTTCTTTCCAGCAACGACCTTCTTCCACCATATCAATTTACAGTATAGTACAATCTCAGAATTTTGTACAGGAGAGTCGTGTCAGACCATGGCAGTGTGCAATACGTAAGTGACAGCCATCATGTGCTCACTGCTTAGCCTGCTCCAAAGAGCCTCTAGAATTGGTGGGGATGGATGTGTGGGTTTTTGAGGGGGCTAGATAGGGAACTAAGGGAGGGTTTCCTTATGATCTGCTCAGGACACAATAAATTCAAACTCTTCCTAGGAACGGCGAGGGTGGGGGGGAGAACCCTGCTGATTCAGGAAAGGAGAGATGACCTCTTGGGAAAGCAACTTTGTGGCTTTGTAGAAGAGGAGTGGAAAGCAAAACTCTACAAAATGGGAAAGCTGATGGGAGTCCAGGAAGCAGGGACTCCCTCCCCATTCTAGCTGTTTCAGTCCCTGCCCCACTCTGATGAGTCCTATCCCTGCTTCACCACTTCCTAACCTCATTGCACCCTTTCCCCTCGAAGCCATATGACCTTTTTTATATCGCGAACCAGCAAACTCATTCACAAACTTTTGGCATACCGGCAACATTTTATTCACATATATATTATTCAGATAATGAATATGCAAATAAAATGTTGCCGGTACACTTAGCCCCAGCCCAGCCTTTTGTTCCCTAGTGCCTAACACCCTTGGACCCCCACCACTATGCCCCATGACTTTTGACCCTTTAACATCTGACCCCTACAGCCCATGCTAACACCCTCTTGCCCCGTGACTCCACCCAACACCCACTTGTCCCCACCCCACCCCCACACTCCCCAGAGCAAGGCTGCCCCCACTGGGGCTTGGGAGTGTGGAGCCCCAACCAGACTGCCATGTTACCTGGGTGGGAAGGGGGAAATGTCTCCTGCTCCACTGCCTCAGCCCCGCACTACTGCCGGGCAAAATCAGCCATACACTGAGCCCTGGCCAGGCTGGCCTCTTATCTGGAGAAGAGTGGGGAGCAGGGAGGGACTATCAAATAGTCGTGTAACCACTAATATTGGATGCGGTTACACAACTATTCGATTAATCACTATCTAGCCTCCCTAGACAGAATCTGAGAGCTCTAGCAGAGTCCTTCTGGCTTCTGCATTTGACTTGGACCCCGGTGAGTCTAATGCCAGCCCTGCTTGCTGAGTTATTTTGGCAGATCCCCTGAAACAGGTGCAGGAGGTCCCCCAGGCCCCCAGTTGAGAACTACTCTTCTAGTCTCTTTATTCTTGCAGTGGTCCTGGCCATCAGAGGAGCAGGTCTCAAGAGCTCTGCTTGATGGCAGAGGGAGTGTAGTAGCTAAAGCCACTATGACACAACTGAAGAAATAGGGCATACAAATTTTGGTGTGGATGTGTTAGTCTGATGCAGTGCGTTTGAAATGATTTCTCCCTAAGCTGCAACTTACCCCCTCCCCTTTTTCCCCTCCCCCCCCAAAGTGGGGGAGGGAGTTGCTTGTGTATGAGCTGTGAGAAGAAATGAGAGGAGAAAATTTAAAAACCCTCCATCCCTGTCACACCTCTGACTGACTTTTAATGGATTTTTTTAGCACTAAAAGCTTGATAGCACACTCTCAGTGAGGGAAGCGGCATGTCAGTGGAGCCTGTAACTTCTGAGTATTGATAGATGAGATTCCAAACTGATGAAGAGAGAGATCTACTGCATCTGGTCCCTCAAAGCTACTAGCCAGAAAGCACTCCACAGCTGATAGAAAGTGGCAAAAGGAAGTGAATGCAGATCAAGAGGAAGTTATTGGTAGGGTGCTATAGTTGATTATTGCAGGGCTAAGGACTGATATTAGCATGCCTGATGTTCTCACTTCTCCTTCATTGCTGAGGGAAACAGACAGGGGAGTAGCTGCATAGCTTAGGGCAGGGGTGGGAACCTCAGACCCAGGAAACAGATGCGGTCCCTGGCTTGTCTGGATTCAGATTCGGCCTCTGTGGCTCAGGGCTCCCCCCAGCATCTGTGAGACTGTACTGGCACTATAGCCCCCCTTATGGCCCCACCACAGGGCTGAAGCACACAAAATCTACTAGGCTGCCCCCCCAGTCTCTGGTGTTCCAGGGGAACGTGGAGAGTGTCTTCTCAGTGGGAGCCATGACAGTGAGGGTTGGTTTGGGGATTTTTTGCTTCTCACTTGTGTGCGGCCCCTGACTGAAAGTTTCCTGACCTCTGGCTAAGGGGGTACTCTAGGGGTGGGGCAGGGTGCTTACTGCTTATGTTTTGTGGGAATTTTAGTATAGACGGTGTCCCTGGGCTCCAAAGGAACCACATCCTTGTGTAATATCTGAACTGAACCATTACCTTGATTTTTAGGAGTGTTCCATAATTATACTGTATTCCTGCAAATTCTAAGTTTTCATTAAAAAAAATAATTCTCTCTCTGCAACAAAACTGTCCCTGACTATGTAAATTGGTCCTGCTGCTGACTTTGGACAAATTTTTAAAAGGTCCCTAAGTGCCTAAGTGCCTAAAAGCCACCTTTATGCTGGACTAGTGTCCAAACAGGCAGCTATTCTGGAATAGCTGATTTTACTAGAGCTATACTGGTCAATTTCCTCATGTAGGCAAGGCCTAAACCCAATTGACTTCCAGTGGAAATTAATCTACAGTCATTTAGGCTGTTTTAACAATTCAATCCTTTGTTTCCTTGCATTCTGCCTGCTAGTTTAAATCTCCGAGTTCTGTCCACATGAAATCCCAGGTACTCTCTCGCCTCAGGCTGTTTTCCGTTTGCATTCAGGCATGCTGCTATTTCCTTTATCCTAAAGAAGCCTTGACATGAAGTAACTCGTAGTAGATTTTCTGTAACTTGAAATCTTTAAATCAAAATTTAAGGATATGAATAACTCAGCCAGAGGTTACAGGCCTGTTGTGGGACTGGGTGGGTGAGTTTCTGTGGCATGCGATGTGCAGACTAGATAATCATGATATTCCCTTCTCTTCTTAAAGTCTCTCTTTTTTAACAAGCCCTCTTAGTGATCTGCTTAGGTATGGGGTTTTGATTTTTTTTTTCTCCCAGCATTCATTCATTCATATTCTCCCTCTCTCTCTGTCTCTCTCTGACACACACACCTGACTTTTTTGCCTCGTCCACTCTACTGGAATTGCCATCATAAGTCATTAATGGCCCTGACCACTTATTTGTGTCTCCTGCTTCATAACCATTATCCTCTATCGTATGTGATAGCATCGGCTTCCTTTCTCTTCTTCAGACCTTCTTCCTTGGGTTTCAGGGCTGCCTGTCTTTGCTGGTTCTCCCTTTCCTTTTTGATTACTCCTTTGGCATTACCTGTCTTTTCTTCTTCCTCCCTGCCACTGTGAGTGCTCCTTAGACTTCTGTCTTTAGTACCCTCCTTTTCTTGTCTTCTACCCACTTTCTGTCACTTACTCCCATGGTGCATATCACCTTGCTGTGACTCAACTCCCCTTCCATCCAGGCTCAAGTCTCGCCCTCTGTCCAATCTCTCATTGCCAGATCAAAGGGTGCATGCGTGTAAGAGGGGCCACAGGGCTTTGCCCCAGCGTACCCTGTCAGAAGGTTCTGTCATATATGCCCTACAAAATCATCTCTCCCTGGCTTTAGAAGGGAACAGAATTTGGAATAGGACAGACCTTATCATAGTCTGGTACTGAATTCAATCAGGTGTATATGCACAGGGGCAGCCAAATTTTGACCCACTAGGTGGATGTTTCAGATGTGTGCAAGTGACTTACAAGCCTCAGTTCCCTTTTCAGAATTGACTTAGGACCATAACTTTCACTGACTTTTGAGAACAGGACTTAGGCTTCCAAGTAAATTTTAACATTGGCTTCAAGCGCTTTCCCTGCGTCCTTTTTGTCAGATGGGCTCTTTCCGTGCACTGTCCAAAGCAGGACTTTGCTCTCTCCCTGCCTGAGCTGGGTTCTTTGTGACTAACTCACTCTTTGGAATTCCTCCTTTGAATTTTAGTCTCTCTGTGGCTGTGGTGGTGAAGAATTGCACAGCTGCTTTTGAAAGCACAAACAAACCTTGATCACTCACTTACCAAGTGAAATCTGTAGCATGACCCCAAAGGTTTGTGTGTCCTCCTCACCTGGTCCCCACGATACATACAGTCTCTTTAACCCTGTCCACATCCTACACAAATCAGAGCAGCATCAAGAGAGTCTTCACGCTTCAACATTGTTCCCCTCTGGAGGGTTCAAACTCTGATTTTAAAATCGGGCCTGATCCCTCAGAATCCTTTGTGCTGTGAAGAGCACTTGGAGTTGCTCTCCATGGCTGTGGAGGATTTCTGCAGAATAGGCAAACCCTCTGCTGCTGTAAAGCTGGCATTGCCAGCTCTCCACAGCCACTCCTCCGTTTTGGCACGTGGGTCTTCCCAGGCAGAAAAGTGAAGCTAAAGCACAATGTGTTCCGCTGGCCCACAATTGCTGGAACTGCAAACCAGCATAAGTTAGCACCAACTTTATGGCTGCCGTAACGTGAGCCAGGAGCTGATTTGCTCTCTAGCCGGTGACTTGTGCTCAGTGAAGCTGAGGATCCAACCCATTGTTGAAGAGAAGTGTGCTGGCAGTTTTTCAGGGAATAAAAGTGGTGGTGGGGAATACAGGTCCTTCTAGAGTACAAGATTGAGGGCACATAAAATGTGGGCCTTAGACACCTAGTATGGCTTCGCAGAGACTTGTTACTGCTGCTTTTCTGTTTGAACGTGTCAATAATGAATGCTGCTTTAGGGGATTCGGAACAAGATATGATTACTTTAGCACCATACAGTGAATAAGCTCATAAACTAAAAAGCTATCTGCACAAGTCTTGAGAACTTCTTGCGAATTCACGAAAATCCTACCTTTTTTTTTCTAGTTTTCTCTTCTCTGATCGCTGAATGACACTGAGCTTACGTTGAAACTGCAGTTCTGTTGTGGAAAACAGGAGTAGTGAAGGTTGAAGTATTGCAGAAAGGGCTGCCAACCCTCCAGGATTGTCCTGGAGTTTCCAGGAATTAAAGACGAGTCTTTATTTAAAGACTGTCATGTGATGAAATCTCCAGAAATCATCCAACTAAAGCTGGCCACCCTAATTGCAGAGCAGAACACAATAGCCACTAAGAGAATCTCTTGAGGTTTTCTTCTTCTGTTTAGCATTGGGGACATGCACAGCATCATTAGTGTTTCTAGAAAAGCATTGAGGACAGTGAAAACAAACTCACTTAATAGAACAAACCTAGAGAATGACTAAGGAATATGAATCCGAGTTTCTCAATGTGACCTTGATCAAAATGCTTAATTTCTATGTTTCCCATTTGTAAAAATGAAGATACAGTAAAAGCTTTGTTATCTGGCGCAATGTTAACCAGAAAACTCTGTTACCTGGAGTTGCCCCCAGCTGATTAACAAAAGCTTGAATTTGAAAGAATGCTGGATCAGCTGCTGTCTCTGCTTCTGAGGTGAAAGCTTCCTCTTCCCCCAGAGTGGAGCCAGCAAGGGCTGCTTTATCTGGCACATTATCTACCCCTCCCCCCCACCATACCCCTCGAGTGTGGGATAGCAAAGCTTTCACTGTACTTCCTCTATCATCCCTTTGTTTAGGGTGTAGTTCTTATACATGTATCTGAAGAGACATACCCAAGCACTTAGAATGGTGGATCCCTGATTTTGGTTGGAGCCTTAGGTATTGCCATAATATAAATCAGTAATAAACACTTCCTTTTAATGATTATAATTGTAACCCCCAATTGCACAACTACAAAAATGGGGCACAACTGATTAGGTGGTAGTATTGCTGACCAGGGTTAGTGGATCACAAATTAAATACAAGTCATCAATGTGAGGCAGTTGCAAGAAAGGCCGATATCATTCCTGCGGTGTGTTAACAGCTGCATTGTATGTGAGACCCAGGAGGTAATTGTCCTCTGCACGGTGAGGTCTCAGCTGCAGTGCGGTGTCCAGTTCTAGGCAACACTCTCCTGAAGATATGAACAAATTGGAAGGAGTGCCAAGGAGAGCAGCAAACAGCGATAAAGGGGTTAGAAAATGTGACCTATCAGGAAAGGTTTAAAAAAAAAAAACCCAGCAATGTTTAGTCTTGAGAAAACTGGGGAGATGTTACTGTTTCTCCAATATGTTAGGGGTTGCTAGTAGGGATGCTAAAAAATGTTTAATACAGTAACTGCGTGTCCACTAAATATCTTAGTGGTTACAAACGCTGCAGGCTCTGCAGTTCAAAGCTTATCTTTATCTTGGAGAGCCTGCAGCAAAGCCACCCTGGGAGCAGGAACGCCAGCCTCTGTCGGCCCTGCTGCAGGGAAGCCACTTCCCCAGGTGCAGGCTGAGTGTAACCGATGAGCATCAGATTACCAGCTAAACCAGAGGTTTTCAAACTCTTTTTTTTCTCATAACCCAGTTGAAGGAAATTGTTGGTGCCCACGACCCAACGTAGTTTGACTAGAGTGTGGGCTCCTGTTGGGACTGAGGATGAGCATTTTGGGGTAGAAGAAAGGGTTCTGGCTTTTGGGATATCAGGGCTGGGGCAGAAGGGACTTAACTTTGAGTGGCTCCCGGCCAGCGGTGCAGTGGGAGTGCTAAGGCAGCTTCCTGCCTCTCCTGAGACTGCAGACAGTGCTGCACCTCAGAAGCAGCCAGCAGCAGGTTCCTGGCCAGTGGGAGTGTGGAGCTAGTGCTCAGGGCAGGGGTAGTGCACGGAGCCCTGTGTGCTCTCTCTTCTTCTCTCCCGCCCTCAAATCTAGGAGCCAGGCCTACTACAGGCCACTTCTGTGACACAGTGCAATCCGCAGTGCCAAGACAGGCAGGTAGCTGCATTACACCCCACCCTCCCACCACTAGTCACCCTGCGGCAACCCGGACCTGACATTCTGCCACCCAGTACGGGGTCCCAACCCGTAGTTTGAAAACCACTCGGTGAAATGGTTAATCACTTACAATCTAACATCCCTGGTTGCCACAGAGATTGGTGATCAATTGTCCTCTTTGTCCCCAAAGGACAGTACAGGAAAGAATGGGCTTAATCTACCGTAGGAGAGAGTTTTAGGTAAGATCTTCACTAGTTATGAGGGGAGTTAACACTGGAATTGGCTTCCAAGGAAGCTTGTGGAATCCCTGTCTCTTCAGGTTAAGAAAAAGTTAGACAAACACCTGTCTGGGGTGGTCTAGGTATATTTTATCCTGCCTGGTGCAGGGAACTGAACTACACAATCCTTCGAGGTCTCTGCCAGCCCTACACTACAATGGTTCTACTCATTCTGTTGGTGGGAGGGAGCTGGTACCTCAGTTACAAACTGATCTGTCAACCACACGCCTCATTTGAAACTGGCAGTGGCAGACAGACAGATGAAGCTAATACAGGATATGCTGTGTTAAATGTAAATTACAAGTTGAACCTCTCTAGTCTGGTGCCAAACCAGAGAATTTGCCAGACCGGGGAGGTCAGTCTTGTCTAGCGGCATTGCCAATACTTCCACTGCTTACTGGGCTCTTGGAAGATATTTAGGGGTAAACTAGAGCTAAATAACAGCACAGAGCACTGAGAGCCAGGACTGGCCACTGAATAAACAAATGTTATTGGACTGTGGATAAACTTGGTCACACCCATGATAAGTGGACATCTGGCTAACTAAAATCATGCTGGGCCACGGATTTTGCAGGACTAGAGAGGTTCAATCTATACCAAAAAAAGGGAAGTAGCATTTTTCTTCTGCATAATAAAATTTCAAAGCTATATTAACTCTGTGTAGTGTTAAACTTTTGAAAGATCAATGACTTTTTGTTCCGAGTTATGAACAGCCTCCATTCCCAAAGTGTTCAGCTGCTTCCCCCTCAACCCCTTATAGGGCCCGATAACACACAGGGGCTGTAGTGCATGCAGCCCAGGGCCCCAAGTGAAGGAAGCCCCTGCAAAAAGGACTCCAGGCTGCCTAAAGCAAAAAGATCTGGACTTTTGGCAGCCCAGAGATCTTTTTGCAGGGCCCCCTTTAGTCTGGGGCCCTAACCTGCAGCCCTAACGCCTCTTTCTTAATCCAGTCCTGACCACCAGTTCTGGGAGGCGTCAGGACTCAGATAGGCACTGACCTGTTTTGAGCTGCAGGCACTACAGCCCTTTTCTGAACATGAAGGGTAAGTGATGTACTCAAGGCCTCCGAATGTGTCCCTGTCAAGGTTGGGAGCAGAACTGAGAGCCTGTTTTAACCGTGCTGCTTCCCACCACTATTGCTAGCCCTTGTCTGTAGATTTTTCCTGTTTGGGGGTGGTGGGGAACCACTTGAGTGAGGCAGATCTTCATTCTGTGCTTGACTTAGAGAAAACTTGCCTTCGCTAGTTGTCCGTGTTGCTGGTATCACTGATAGCACTGAGTGAGACTCTGAATGGTAAATGCTGCTGTTCTGTTTTCACAAGGGAGACCGTGTCAAGATTTCCTATCTAGGAAAATATCGTGGAAGGAGTGGCTAATAGGAATCCATGGCCTGTACTTCCGTAGTGTTATTGGCTCACTTAAAAGCCAAAACAGCTGGAAAAAATGTGTTTTGTCTCATGCCAGGCACTGGGTCTTGGAGTAAGTTTGTGATCAAGATGTATCCGATAAGCGTCCTTTTTAAAGGAAAAAACAGATTGCTGCTGCTGCTGCTGTGCTTACAGTTCAGTTAGAACTTCCAGCTGCTTGGCCCCAAGCCTGTGCTTGTGTGACCTGTACTTGTGTGCTGTAAATTGAACTGAGGGTCTTCCGTGTAACACGCAACACTGGCAATTCTTTCCACAGACAGTACTACTGGTATGATGAGCGGGGAAAGAAGATAAAGTGCACAGCTCCCCAGTATGTCGACTTTGTCATGAGTTCAGTGCAGAAGCTAGTGACAGATGAGGACGTCTTTCCTACCAAATACGGTATGTTTACTCCTGGGGGGAAGGTCGCCCGGTCTACATTGGTGAAAGGGGCTAGGGTTGGACTGTTCCATCATCCAGAAGTTAAAAATGGGGCCCTAGTGGTGAAGTGCACTGTGTCCATGCTGTCTCTTCTGAATTAGGTATGTAAGCGAATAGTCAAGTCACTACTCGACAACTTACTCCTCTCCCCCCTCCGCCTTTCTGCCTCTATTAGCAGGAGTCAGTGCTGCCAGGGTCTGGATTAAAAGCCTGTTCACACTCCCTACCCCCCCCAAGCACCATCTCTGCAGTGCGAGGGAGGAGGCAGGGGAAGCAGAGGTGCAGTAGTCCGGGACCTGGTGGCTCACACCGGATCCTGAACCTACCCCTGCTGTGGCTCTGCAGTTTAAATATAGTAAGGAGCCAGGCTGCTACTACATTTAAATTGCAGAGCCACAGCAGGGCCCCTTAGCAACTAATCGTGTACTTGATACAATTTGTATCAACTATACGATTAGTCAGTTACCCGCTTCTTTACATCCTTATTCTGAGTTGATTACTCGGAATTTGCTCATTTTTTCTTTCTGGGCTGAAATTTTGCATTTGATCTAAAGCCACCTAATGTCATCTGACAGCTTTCATAATAATGAAAGCCAGACATCTGGTCTGGGCTGCACCTAAATACTGGGTTCATGTTAGGAGCTGGGGTGGAAATGAAAAATCATCCCAATATTTGTGCCATCAAATAGCAGTTGTGCCCTGTATTGTGCTTGGTGTGTGTGCACACTTCTAGTTCTGCATGTGCATTATGGAGTCCAACAGGCTGAGCAGAGCCAGCCGAGGACTATAGCAACCTGAGCAGGCAAATCTTGGTTTGATGCTATTAATAACAGAGAAGTCTGTTAAAGGGAAAAGATTTTTCCATTTTGGGCTATGTACATAAGTTTGGCCATGGCACTCAGGTGCATATCCATGGGGCAGTATGCAACCTAAGTTGAGTTTGTTGAGACATGTTTTGTAGCAGGGCATACCCTACTGCAGGGTGGCATCAGGCCATTAGAAATCCTTTTGTCCAGCAACCTAGACTAAGGAATCCTAATATCACGAGTCTAAATCCATGCCTTTAGGTTATGTACTGCACACTAAAACGTGCAATGCACAGCTCTCTAGAGGACGCTCTATGTACTGTGCACACACCTGGGCTTAGACTTGTGATATTTGGTGACAGGTATGGAACTTTTTTCAGCTCCCCAGCATGGGTGTTCTCGCTGCCTTATCTGTGCCCGGATGTGTGGACTGAAAAATTGGGAGGTGGAGCGAAGCAGGAGGGTGGGAAGGCAGATAAGGAGTTGTCTGCCAGGTTTCAGACCCTCAAAGTAATGAATGTGGGGGGGTTAGTCGCTTCTTGATAAACTTGCAAGAGTTGGCAGCCCTTTTGTAATGTGGAAGAGGAATCAGGAATGGCACTTTTGACTGATGGATCTCCACCCAGTTAAATCCTGCATCTCCATTACTGCTTCTAAGATCCTGTCCTAAAAAGAAGTTGCACCTGTCTGCATTTTGACGGGGACAAATGCTTTCCTTAGGCTGAAAGAATGGATTTGAGGTGTGTCTGAGGTTTCCCTTCTCTCCTCTTCACAGGCAAAGAATTCCCCAACTCCTTTGAGTCCTTAGTGAAGAAGATTTGCAAGTACCTTTTCCATGTGCTGGCCCACATCTACTCCTCACACTTTAAGGAGACTTTGGCACTGGAGCTGCATGGACACTTGAATACACTCTACATACACTTCATCCTATTCATCAGGGAGTTCAACCTGGTGGACCCTAAAGAAACCACCATCATGGATGACCTCACAGAGATCCTCTGTAGCAGCAGCGGCAGTGGGAGCAGTAGTAATGGGAGTGGCAACAGCAGCGCAGGAGCACAGAACCATGTGAAGGAGAGATGAGCCTTCCTATGGAGCAAAACTAACATTAACAAAAAAAAACAATATTCTATATTCTGAGTGTGTGTATGTATATGTGCATATGTATATATGTATACAGACACACACAGCTGAAAGTTTAAGAAATTATGCTGCCACCGCAGGACGTGTATGGGACTGTACGGAGCTTTTGTTAATGCACCATCTGGTGGGAAGTTGCACCAATCCTATTTTATTGTTTTCCTCCTGCTCCTTCTTTCTTTTCCCCGTCAGATGGCTGACAAGTGCTGTTTTTAGAGAAGAACCATGTTTTCGAGTTGGGCTGCTGGTTTTTTTGTTTTGTTTTGTTTTTTGGGGTTGTGTTGAGTGCAAGCCCTTCTGTCTTTCTAGGATGGTGGTACTGCCATTTTAAAATATATATATTATGTTATAAAAAGTGACTTTTACTTTGAAGTGGCTTAAATGCAGATTGTTTTGGGGTTTGATTATTTTTTGGTTGGTTTTTACATAGACTCCCCTCCCAATTTCACATAGAGTCCCCAGTCAATTGCATCTTGCCCTTCGCTGGCTTGGAACAGGAAGATGAGAGGCCTGGCTTGAGTGCAGTATCAGTAGAGGCTTGCTGCAAATGTAGAGGATGTGGTTCTTCATCTGTCTATGAACCTTCCAGGGGATCCACAAGCCTTTCTGCTTGTTGCTCCGACAAAACATACGTACTCGTTTCTCTGCCCTTTCCCTCCCAGCACCCATCTGAGAATAATCGCAGTGAGCTTCCCGAGGGTCTGAAATCTGCGTGTAAAAGCCGCCACCATTTATTTCCTTTCCGTGGAAAACGGGGCCGGGGGTGAAGGGTGCACAGAGTCAGTCACTGGCTGTGATAGAGAGATGGCTGTTGGCATAAAATTATATTGTTGGCTTATTTTTAGTTCATCTGTTCAATAATAATAAAATAATTTCTATCCAGCACGAGTCTTATCTTTCTCTGTAGCGACACCCCTCACGACAGGTTTCCTTCAAGGGTGCAGAGGTTGTTTACCGGGTGATCACAGGGAGAATGGTTAGCTTGGGTGGCTCTCGGTCGTCTGAGTTTTAAAGGATGTCAACCAACTTTTTTTTTTTTTAAAGAACCTGTTTTTATTTTCCAACCCATAAACTGCATTTTGTTCACATTATGCATTGCTCTCGTAATAGAAATAAGTGCATACAGAGGGGGCCGCAGGCTAGGGATGTGAAAGGTTAACCAGCTAACTGGTAAGCACCCTCCTAAAGGAGTAATGCTCACTGGTTCAGGTTAACTGCAGGAGTTGCTCTGGCCGGCCATTCCATGGAGGGCCCAGCCCCACCCCAGTCCCCCAGCCAGAGGTTACATGTTGGCTCCCTGGGAGCAGAGCTGGCAGGGGCTGCAGTCCTCGCTCCTGGAGAGCCAGCTACAGAGCATGCAGTGAAGCTGCCTCTCCAGGAGCGGGACTGGCAGCTCTTGCCAGCTCCGCTCCCTGGGAAGGGGCTTTGCTGCGGCAGCAAAGCCTCCTCCCCAGATGTAGTGCCAGCAGGGGTTGGGGGCCCTGCTCCCAGGGAGTTTTTGTTGCGGGTATCGGTGTAACCACTGAGATTTTCAGTGGTTACATGGTTACCTAGTTAGTGGACTTTTTACGTCCCTACCACAGGTTGCTAGGCCCTATACAAACAGGTTTATGCAGTTCTTGTGTGGAACAGCTTATAGGGATGTTAGCTATCGTTGAACTGAATAATCGTTTAACTGCACCAAATCTTATTGGTTACACAAGTATTTGATAGTCCCCGGGGCGGAGGCAGCAGCCAGTGCACTCCTGGCCTCACTACCAGGGAACCCCCTACCATCCTGCTCTGCTGCCTCTGTATCAGAGGCAGCAGTACATGGTGGCAGCAGCAGCCTCTGTCCACAAGGGGCCTGAGCTCCCTGTGGACAGGGGCTGAGGTGGCACTGCAAAACTCCTGCCTTCCCTTCCCCCTCCCTGCTGCCTGTGTGGGAAGGAAGCAAGGGTGGGAGGCAGAGAGCTCTGTGGGAGCCAATACTTGTGGGGAGCTGGCTTAAAAGCTGGCTGCCCATGAAAACCCTGCTGCCTCTAAAACAGAGGCAGCAAGGTGGGGTGAGTGCGTGTAGTCATTAGGATGAACTGATAAGCCCCGCCTTATTGGTTAATGGTTTATATGACTGTACGCTAACATCCCTAACCACTTATAATGTCAGACGTAACAAGGAGGACGGGGGAAAGAGATGCACACCGTTGTGTAAGCTTTCCATGCACCTTTGCACTTTCATCCCCAGTTTGCACATTGTTTCTTTCTAATTACATACATGATTTCTCACCTGTTGCTTGGCTTATTTCTTGCTGGCACTGTGGCAGAAGACTTGAGAGACCTTATTGATCAGTGCAGGGAAGATGTCCGCTTAAGATGTACACAAGTCTGTACCCTAACAAGGCTGTAGTAAGCTGTTGTTTTGTATATACTCTCTTATTTGGACCCTATTGTACAACACCAGAGCAGATATTTGTCCAATAATTGCTTACCTCAAGGGACATTCAGGCTCTGATTGGGTGTCTTGTCAAAGCAGTGGCCATTTTGAGACTTTGAAGTGAAGGTAAGTTAACTCTGGGGGGGCTGATCTATTTGTGCTATCTTATTTCCTTGAGCATAAAGTTTTTATCATCCAGTATACTGGACAGCTCTATATTCAGAAATACCACTGCTATATTTCCCACAATGCCTGCTCAAGTTCAGAGACAGAAGACTTGTGACTGTTCTTAATTTAAAGGGGAAACCTCTTCCCTGATGGAAATTTCATTGCACAGTACCCTGCCTATGGTAAGTCAAGGGGAGACCTCTGCTATGAATCATATTAGCATTGGACAGTTACTTCCAGCCTGTACGCTGGTTTAGTAGGACACAAAGCTACTAAATAAATAAATTCCTAACATAGCCTAACTTTTGTAAAGTCACTAAGTATCTATGCATATGCCTCTGATGTCACCTAGCCCCACTTAAACCCGCCCCCCAAAAAATTCTTCCCATTGAAACGGGTGACTAAACAGTGTTAAATGTAACACATTCTTCAGTTGCTGTCTCTGGAAGGAGAGGAGCAGTACTAAGTACGTAAGTGAGAGCTAAGAATTCATGAATTTTCATCCTGGCTGCACCGTAACCTCTAGGCAAGATAGCTAGGGCCAACTTCCCATAAGTAAATCGTAATTTTGGGTGCTGCCATTTTTGAGAGTTCAACCTGAGACGCTCCTTATAAGGGACTGATTTTTAGAACATGCTGCACATCCAGCTTCTGACAATCGGAGCCCATGAAAGTGTTGAGTTGGGCACCCTACAGCCTAGTGGGTTTTGAATATGTTGGTGCTAGAGCCCAGTTCTGCATTCATGAAAGGCAGGGCAAAGTTTCTGTTGACTTCATGGGTACTGGACTTTAACCATTCTGCTTGTATTTATCTGCATCTCGCATGGGACTGAATTTCTCTTGCACTGGTGTCTTACAAGCACTGTAGGGTAAGCTCATGCAGACATTTACCTTAATTTAAAAGCACCTTCTGTGGTAAGTCAATTCCTTACCACCTTAAAGCATAATTAAACAAAACTCTTCTGTGTGCTAAGGCCCACAGCCCCTTTGGACTGAGACATGCCCTTTCAGCTGTAGGTTGGGGCCGAATCAGACCACTCAGGCACTGCCGGTAAGCATCTCACTTCTGAAGTGCCTGTTCATTTTATCTATCTCCCCAGCAAGTCAGCCACACCTCCTGCCTGTAGTGGTTTACGGAGGAGACTTTCAAACTTCTCCCTAGCAATATTTTGGTCTCTGCCTTTTGATGACTTTGTCCTCAGTTCCAGCTGCCCTTTTCTGGGGCATGTGCTGCTTCAGGGAGAGAGCTAAAGAAGAAAAGCCAGAATCAAAAGACAGGCCTGTCTCTCCGAGGGGAGCCCAACCAGCTCCGGGATCGGGCTGCTCTTCCCAGGAAAGTAGCCAGACAAGACAGGAAAAACTGTCCCTAGGCATGTGCAGACCATTTCCGTGTCAGATGGAAGTTCTAGCCTAAGGCCATGGCCAGAGGTAGCAGTGAGCTCATAAGGAGCTTTCTCAAACAGCTCACTCTGTGCCTGCTGTCACCTCTTTTGTGCTTCCAGCTGATCCCTAGTGAGATGCCAGGGCTGGGACCTCAACAGCCCAAGTGGATTCCATGCACAAGAGAAGGCAGAGGGATTGTAAGTAGACCCTGATGACTCCAGCCAGTAAATCATTGAGAAGCCCATGCACAGAGGGGAGGGGAGATTAGGCTCTTTGAGGACAGGATAATGGCTAGTCAGGGGTTGGTCCTGCTGTTAGCAGGGGGTTGCACTCTAAGACCTCCTGAGGTCTCTTCCAATTCTGTTTCTATGATTTGAAATACTTTTTAGACCATTCTTCAGGGAGATGCTCCCAAAGAGGAGCTAACAATGAATAAAATCAGTGTTTGGTGTCCAGCTCCCCTCCTCAACTTCATAGAGTACCGCATGGCTGGAGAAAACACCCACGCCAGGGCTAGGTACTGATTCCGCTCGGCATGCACACTAGGGATGTTAGTGCATATATTCAGGTAAACTTGGCTGAAAATGTCCATGGTTACATATTTACATGTGGAATGAGAGGAGGTGGCTCCCTGAGAGCTGGTGCATGCGGGTAGCCAGCTTTTAAGCCAGCTCCCACACATACAGAGGCAGTGGCACAGGGGGTGGGGCAGGCAGTTACCCAGGAGCCGGTGTTCATGGAGAGCTGATCTAAAAGTTTGCTCCTACTTGCCTCTGCCCACCATGCTGCTGCCGCTGTATCCTAGGCAGCAGCAGGAGGGATTGAGGGGGGTGCTGCTTGTAACCGTGCATATTAACCGATGAGCCCAGGCTCATTGATGAACCATGTACACGTTTACACTGTCACATCCCTAATGCGCACACCTGAAAAACGGGACTCCTTAGGAAAGAAGGCAGGTGGGCCCAAACTCGAGTTAGGGGGATTGAATAATATATACATTAAAACAAATTCTATGTCCTCTTCCCCCCACCACCCCACACACAGGTTTTTAACCCCACCAGGCAAAGGACTGTGAAACCACACTTGGCAGATCTGTAGCCAGACAGGTGCTCACTGTGAAGAAGGAAGAAAAGAATTTTCTACTGCACCTAAGTGGCAGGGAACGTGGGGAGCTGTGCTTCCCTGCTGCAGGGAGTCACTGTTCCTGGGTATGCAGGTTAATACCCTCAGCTTCCGTTGCAGAAGCCATGCTCCATTCCACCTGGCCAGGGTGAGCTAAGACGGGGAGCAGTCCAGCTATGAAAGAACAGAGAATGGGAAGAAGGAAGAAAAGAATTTTCTACTGCACCTAAGTGGCAGGGAACGTGGGGAGCTGTGCTTCCCTGCTGCAGGGAGTCACTGTTCCTGGGTATGCAGGTTAATACCCTCAGCTTCCGTTGCAGAAGCCATGCTCCATTCCACCTGGCCAGGGTGAGCTAAGACGGGGAGCAGTCCAGCTATGAAAGAACAGAGAATGGGGCGGCTTTTCCTCCCTCCCCATTTCTTTCTAGGGGTGTTAAACAGTGGCTAGTTTCACCACGTAACCGTGGCGCAGGCTCTGCGGTATAAAGTGGGGGCAGGCAGAATCTGGTCCATGGGCCAAATCTGGCCCACCGAGCTACTGGATCCAGCTGGGCACACTAATCAGAGAAGCTCTGATTGCTGCAAAGTGTGGGGGCGGGAGGGAGCGGCTTTGCGCACTGCCCTTGCCTCCAGCACAATCTTGCAGTTCCCTTTGGCCTGTTTCTGGCCAATGGGAGCTGCCTGTTTGCAGAACTGGCAGCACACATGGTGCCCCTCCCCTTCCAGGCTCACAGTGTACAGAGCAGCCCACATGGACACACAGCTGCTTTGAGCAGCATGCAGGGACATGGAAGGCA